TCATTTTAGCTTATTTGCTAAGTTTTTTTTTTTTTTTTTTTGCTAAATATTTATTTTGGTTGTAGAGCTTTCTCTTTGCAAGTGTCTAAATACCTAAGCATGCAAGCATCTTCATGTTTTACTCCATATATCAACAGGCTGCTTAATAAACACAGCCAACATACTCAAATCTCAAAAATTGCATTTGAACTTGAAGATACTTTAAGGATCATTTAGTCTAACATCCTCATTATGATAAAGAAACTGGGAACCAGAGAGATTAAGTGATTAGTGTAATTATACATTAAGTATCAGTAGTAACCCAAGGAACTTTAAATGTACTTTTCCAAACTTCATTGTGTTGTTTATTCTAATCAACTAAATTCTCTTACTAGCTACTAAAAGGGTATTGTTTGACACTGAGATCAGGAATGAAAGAATTGCAAAATGCATAAATTGCAATTTTTTGAAAATTGTTTTGTTGTTAAATAATACTCTTCATTATAGAAAGTTTTTATTTCCCAGCTATCTTGTTGACCCCATTTCTTCCATTTTCTCTGCCCTTCCCACCCCCAACATGGTTAAGGAACATTTCATGAGGTAATTTTACTTCCTTGGGAGAGATTCTTAGGGTTTTTTTGTACATACATCAGCCCACATGTTGGACTGATTCCTAGACTCTGTTCTGCCACCCAGTGCAAATTTAAACCGTAGATTATTCCAATGACCTGTAATACTATACCCTGTTATGTCACCTTTCTGTTCTTTGTAAAATCCCTACCAATATAGGAAATTTTTTTGTAGCAAGAGAAATGTCATCAGGCAGAAAGAGATGTTTATTATGCCCTGACTTATGTCTGAAAGCACACACACATAAAGAAAATAAAAAAGTACAGATTAAGAGAATGCACTGTATTGGGGGCCTTCCTGATGGCACTGGGGTCTTAGCGCTATCAAGCTTTGCTAGCTACTCCAGTGTAAGTTCCATCCCTGACCAGAGAGCTAACCCAATGGCGCAGCTGACCTCTTCTGTCTCACCTGCTGCTCCCCTCAGCAGTGTGTTTCAGTAGATTGACCTGTTCTGCTCCCTACTCTGTCTCTGGTGAATCCTCTTACCCCCTGCACCACTGGCCTACACCCCAGTTCTTGTATGCATAAATACAAATAATTCATTAAAGAGACTGCACTGTAATGAAAAGACCACACAAATAAATTCCATGTTCCATTATAAAAAGGCTATTTTTATTGAGGTGTCATTGGTTTACAATTCTGTGTATGATTCAGAGATTTAGGATCATACCCTTCAGGTATGTTAGCACAGCACACCCATTACTGAGGCATGGAAAGCCCTTTGCTATAGTCCATTGTGCCCTCTCTCCACTTTGAAAAAGGTTTTTGTAATTAAAAATAAAAGCTACAAGACTTAAGCCATTTAGAAGAGTTCAGTCTTTTAGAGTGGTTGAAACCATGTCAGTTTTCATCATTATTACATACACATCATCCTTTGAGTAGTAAATGCAAACTATTTGTCTTAGAAATGGCAAAACTAAAGGACAGATAACACTAAAAATCCATTGGCAGTTATCATTACTTCATCCCTGGGTTAAACAAGATAAGAATAGAATCTGTATATTTTTATATGCCTATATAAAGTCATATGCCTTAATAGCTTAAATTATGTACTAATATGAAATATCACAAGAGATAGAACACATATAAGGAAGAAATTATATTCGTTATTTTATGTTTTAAGGATTAAAAATAATATCAATGGTTACTCAAAACCAACTTGTTGATAAATGAGAATTTCTAATTGCTAAAGGGATATGTAAATTCACAGAATTTTTTAAAGAGCCTACCTTGGTCCTGTTTCTTTAAATAAATTATCTTAGTGTCAATTGTGTAATTTAGTTAAACACATTTCACATATGAAATAAAAGCCTCAACAAGCTTAATGAATTTGTCAAAAGCCACAAACTAAGGAAAAGATGCAGAATTTCACATTGCTCTTTACGACTCTGAAGGTTGGGTAGATTTCCATTGTAAACTGCCATCTAACATAAAATCCAGGGATTACAGAGCATCTGGAAGCATTTTTTTCCCCAAAGATTTATTTACTTGTGCATACAAGAACTGGGGTACAGGCCAGAGGTGCGGGCGGGGGGCGGGGGGTGAGAGGATTTACCAGAGACAGAGTAGGGAACAGAACATGCAGATTGACCAAAATAAACTGCTGAGGGGAGCAGCTGGTGAGTCAGGAGAGGTCTGCCACACCATGTGTATCACCTCCCTGGCCGGGGTTTGAACTTGTGCTGCAGTGGATGCAGATAGCTTTTACAGGTTGCATCTTAAACCCCTGCACCACCAGGGAGGTCCCCTGGTCTGGAAGCATTTTTAGGTATCTTGGGCTTTGATGTATTTTTCACCTGTATCAAAGCACATGCTTCCTACTCTAACTTCCATAAACAAGGAGCCATTATTTTGTTTTCTAAAATTTAATCTCTATTCTTTCAATTTCAGTCTCTACTGGGCCTGTATAGGAGCCCACATTGGAAAGAAGCTCAATAAATACTTACTTAATGGAGGAAATTAAATACTTCAACTTCCCCTCTCTCTTTAAGTCTTACAAATACTGCTTTAATTTCTATCCAACATTTAGAAATGTTACTAAATGACAACATTTTTCAGACATATCAAAAAATATTTTCAATATATGTCATGTAGTTAATAACCTAATAAACAATATTAATTGCTATTATTGGGGATTTATATTTTATGTATACCTACCCACCACACTAATTTAATTCTCTCACCATGCTATGAAATAAAGCACTTTGTTTATTTGAAAATGAGAGAAATGAGGTATGAGGAAATCACAGAACCATTATTCATTACTAAAAGAAATAATTAAGTTCTTTTTATTCACCATATTGTATTTCCTAGTTTGTTGGAGGGAAGCAGAAATATAATTGAAATATCAATTTGTTTTTCATTACCAAGTTATTTCTGTAGATGTAAATTCTTCATCTGTCAACTATTGCAGATAAAATATATTAATAGAATAGTAAAATGTCTCTAATATGAGCTGAATTGAAAAACTATCAGTTTATAAAAATTTTTGCTATTCAGAGTTCCCAAAATTAAGATTTTTTTTACAATAACAAGAAGAATCTTTTCCAAAGTATATTCATGATTATAATGGCCAAAATATGTTCATTTTGTGGTTCAGTCGTGGTTTTATGTATTCACAAATTATCAGTTGACATCTATATACTTGCAGAATTTTTGAAGTAGTTTATAAAAGACATAAATTTGCACAAAGTCAAGGAACAGATCAATAGAACTTCCTTATATTCCTTGTATCTGGATTGTAATGAATACTCATTGTGTTAAAAAGAATAATAGCCAAAAAAATTCCACATCCTATCCCCAGGTGTGACAAGGTCATCGGTAGGACAAAAGGAAATACACTAATTTCAAAAATGTTAAGGAGTTTGAGTTACAGAAATTAGCCTAAGTTAGCTGAGTCCACCTAATGTAATCACAAGTGCCCTTAAAGGAAGGAGGCAGGAGTTTCAGACAGGAAAAGAGATGACGACTGAAGCAGTTGTTGGTATGTTGGGAACACCAAGGGCTTCAGACGCTTTTATGAAGATGGAAGTAAAAAAGAAGCAGATTTTGAAGGCCTGCTAACCCGTTTTGGACTTCTGATCTCCAAATTGTAATTTAACAAATTCGTGTGGGTTTAAGCTGCATATATTTGTGATAATTATAACAGTAGCAAAAGGAAACCAAAAACATCTGTTATGCAGTCAAAAAGGACTTTGGTGAGCACTTTGGTGGTGGGAAAACTATAGTGACTGCATCTATAGGGAGAAATCCTATACTGTGAAAAAAACAAGGTTGCTTATAAATAAATAAATAAATAAATAGATAGATAGATAGATAGATAAATAGATAAATAAATAAATAAAACCTCAAAGAGAAAAAAAAAAATAGCATGTTCTTTCCTCTGTAGGAACTTTAGGATTTAACAGCAAACTCTTTTTTCATGGTTATTACATTGCTCCAGATACTGAACAAACCATCACCTTCCATCAAGATGAAACTTGGTTACAACAAAAACCAAGCTGATTCTTCCAACTTGGTTAGATAGGAGATTGATAGGAACCACTATGGGGAGGATGAGACAGAACTAGTTTCTAACAATAGCAATTTGAAGGCTTTAAAATATTACATAATGGGCCTCCCTGATAGCACAGGAGTTAAGTCTCAGTGCTATAAAGCTATCACTAGCCACTGCAGCATGAGTTCTATCCCCTGCCAAAGAGCTACCCACATGGCACAGCAGACTCTCCTGTCTTGCCAGCTGGTCCCCTTAGCAGGGTATTTCAGAAGATCCATCTGTTCTGCTCCTCACTCTGTCTCTGGAGAATCTGCTCAACCCCTGTACCTCTGGCCTAGACCCCAGTTCTTGTATTCATAAATAAATAAGAAAAATCTTTAAAAAATAAATAAAATGAAATTTAAAAATAAAGTATTACACAGTTTTACTCATTTGGCACGTACTGCTTAGCATAAACATATTAACACCTTACAACACTTATTTAATTACAACAAATATTGATAAAGATGGAAGAAATCACAAAATGACAATGACCATTAAATTTGAAGATAATATGAAAAATGTATGGTAAGAAGAAAAGATACTAATCACAGTAAGATTAAGCAGAGAAACCAGTGGAGCTTTGAAAAATCTTAAAAAAAAATGAGTTCTAAAATGAGACAGGAGAATGACTGACAGGGAGTGGGAGCATTTGATTTTCATCAGAAGATTGATATGAAGGAATTTGATTGTTTTCTCCTTGTGTTTTTATAGTATTGCAATCAAGAAAAGAAACTAAACATTTACTTAATTAGGATGCATCATTAATTTTAGTGTTTCATGAACTCTTAAGGTCTTTCACCCCTTTAATGGAAATAAAAGGAAACTAAGCTACTTGATTGCCAATTCTCTTGATATCTCTAAATCTCTCTAATGCCAGTACCTCCTGTTCTGAAGAAATACATGTTTTGTAGGTGGATGAAAAACAATTCTTCAGGTTGATCATGAAGTTTTGCCTCTGAGAAGAAAATAGAAATTTACAGATGAAAGCAATTTGAAAAACACTATATAAAATGAATTCATTTCATATTTATGTAAGTAGACCAAGTCTAAAAGTCAACTTAACAAACATTTATTGAGAATTTATTTAGCAATCATTTATTGATAGCATTATATATAAGAAGAAAGATTCTAAAAGTTATAATGGTATAAAATAAATAAGGACACTATGTATTTCCAAGGTAGGAGATAAGGATAGTATTGTGATAAATATAAAAGTTTTTCCTTTATGTCATTGACACTCTATTCCCATTTTCAATTATTCCATATTAGAAAGAGAAACAAATTTATTGATTGCTATCTATGGATTCAACATTTCTTTTTTATTTTTTTTAATTAATAAATTTTATTTTTATATTCCCCATACAATTGCTATCTATGGATTCAACATTTCTTTTTTATTTTATTTTTTATTTATTTATTTATTTATTTATTTTAATCAACATTTCTTTTTTAAAAAAAAACTTTTTTTTAAAGATTTATTTATTTATGCATTTAAGAGCTAGGGAGCAGATGTAGGCCAGACGTACTGGGATGGAGGGCTGAGAGGATTCACCAGAGACAAGAGTGGGGAGCAGAGCAGGCAGATTGACTGAAATACACTGCTGAGGGAAGCAGCAGGCCAGTCAGGAGAGGTCTGCTGTGCCATGTAGGTTAGCTCCCTGGCCAGGGATCCAACTTGTGCTGCAGTGGCTGCAGATTGCTTCATAGTGCTGATACTCAACCCCTTGCACCACCATGGAGTCCCCTTCACCAAGTCTTTAGATGTCCTCTATTCATTGGGTAAATGTGGAAAGACTAAGTGTGGAGGATCACATAGGAAATTTTAGGGACAAGATCTGTAAGTGATCTATAAATTTTATGGACAACATCTATCCCACATCACTTATATCACTCATTGACTAGAACACTTACATCACTCATTGATTCTCATTGTCACATCTAACTGCAAAGGATAGGAAAGGCCATAGACAAGGGAAAAAAGTACATATATCACATTAAGGATTAGATTCTAAAATATACAAAAAATTCTTAAAGCTCAACAATAATAAAACAATCTAATACATAGGAAAAAGATCTGAATAGAAAACTTATCAAAGAAAATATACAGATGGTAAACAAGCCTATGGAAATACGTTCATCATCTGATGTCACTAAGGTATTGCAAATTAAAGGAAAAGTTAAAAAAAAAGTTTCAAAAGAAAAAAAGTAAAATATCACTAAAACACCTACTGGAATCGTTACTTTTTTAAAAAAGATCTATTTATTTATGCATACAAGAACTAGGGTACAGACCACAGATATAGGGGGTAAGATGACTCTCCAGAGACAGAGTGGGGAACAGAACAGGCAGATTAACTGAATTACACTACTGAGGGAAGCAGCGGGTGAGAGAGGAGAGGTCTGCTGGGCCATGTGGGTAGCTCCCTGGTTGGCCAGGGATCGAACTTGCACTGCAGAGGCTGCGAATAGCTTCATAGTGCTGTGCTTAACCCCTTGTGACAGCAGGGAGAAACTGGAATGGTTAAAATTAAGCGCGCGCGTACACACACACACACACACACACACACAGATCCTGACAGTAGCAAATTGTCAAGGACTGTAGAGCATTATGAATGTCAGTCATTGATCCTGGGAATGCAAAATGGTAGCCATCTCAGAAGAGAGCTTGGTAAATTCTTCCAAAATTAAGCACAGTCTTATATGACTATCAACTGCACTCCTTGGTCTTTATCCAAATTCATTTGTCATGAATAGAAAATTTATGCTCCAAAGAAATACCTGGAGCTTTGTTCTTAATTGCCCTGAACTAGAAGCAATCAAAAGGTCCTTCAAAAAGTCAAAGGATAAACAGACTATGGTACATCCATTTAATGCATAATTCATATATTAATATGATTTATTCTATATAAAATATATATACATATGGATATATATGTCATAATTTAAAGCAAATACTTCTAAACCACACACATACACAAATGAAGGAATCTTAAATGTATATTGCTTAGTAAAAGAAGTAATTTTGAAGAGGTTGCAGGATGTGTACTTCTGACTATATGACATTCTGGAAAAGGTGGAAGTATGTAGACTGTAAAAAGATTAGTGAGGAATCAGTGATTGATTCTGTAGAGGTGGAGAGGGAAAAGTTGGAATGAATAGAGAAAGTACAGGGAATATCTAATTTAAACAGTGGCAAATATTTGGTCTGCATCTTTGACTAAGTAGCAGCAATTTTTTTACATGACCCTTTCTTGAGATAATTCCTATATTTGTTTCTGGGACAAAACAATCACTTGTTCTTCCTTCTACATGTTGTTGCTGAAGCTCAGACACTTTTCTGTTCTCTTTGTTTTGAGTATTTGAAGATCCAGTTCTTGTATTTCTTCATGTTTCTGTTTCAATCTCTTGGAGAATACATATATTTTCAAGGTATCAAATGTCATCTATCCACACATTACTCCTTTTTCTTGGACTTTCCAGAGTCCATTTGAGTCACTATTTAAAATTGCACTTGGAAGTAAAATAACTACCCTAATTTTAGCATGCCCCAAATGGAAAGTTTTTCTCTTCCAAAAGTCCAGGAGAAAAGTGGAGCAGAGATCTCTCTCTGCTGAGGTTTCAAATGGTGTCTATTCATATCTATCCTCCATCTGGCTCTCCTCTTCCTCTCCTTCTTATTCTCTGTCCTGGCCAAGAGGATCATTGTTAATTCTCTATGAGAAAGAAAACTGCCCTTATGTCTAATGCACTGGACATTAGAGTAAAATTTCTCTAGATTAAGTCTTAAGTAGAGCCAAAAGATTCTTCTGTGAATCCACAGAGATCTGGTTCTCAAAGGAAATTCATTTTAATATTCATTTTCTTTAATGTTTAGCTCTTGCAAACAAAACCCCCTTGGTTTCATATAGATAGCCATTTGCGATGGAAGAAACACATTCAGCACTTTAATTGACTTTGTTTCCCCTCTAGGGAGAGAAAATAGCAAACAACTCCAGAGTAAAAATATCCAAACATTACCCCTCTGCATTAGACCAAATATGAACTTATATAAAATGTTTATAAGAGAAACACAGAGTGATGAGTTTCTATCTATCTATGCACAAGAATGTTCTTTTATTTCAGTGCAAAAGTATCTCTTCTAGGTCATCTCTATTGAGTCACAGGGCAAGGGGCCAGCTCCGAGGGTCAGAATAGAATAGGAAAAGCCTCAGAGGAATAAGGAAGGCCCCAAAGATAAGAGTATCAAACCTCACAGGGGACTAATCAAACACCCCAGGAGGATGGGAGACAGGATATTCCAGAACAATGATGAGTAAGTGAGACCACTGAGAACTAACCAATCACAGAGAGACTAGCGGAGCTTTAGAATAATTAGGGAAAGAAGGTCTATATTCCCTGAGGCATGACTCCACTTTGGCTTCCTTGTCCCTCCCTGGCCTGGTTTCATAGCCTGGGAGTCCCACTTTATTTCTGTTCCTTTTCTCCTCAGTAAACTTTTTCTTTCTCTAAACAAACCTGCCTCTTCTTGCTTGCTTGCCTGAGCGTCTGTGAAGTTCCTGCTGCAGTTTCGTGAGACACCAACCCGTGGTGGTCTAGTGGCTGGGACTCAGTGCTGCCCCTGCAGCCTGGGATCCGTGCCTGGCTGGGAGACTAGGCCTGAAAACCTACAATTCTGGTATCAGTAAGTGTTAAATAATTGACTCAGGACAATATCTACCCTGAAAAACCAGATGTCTCTGCTCTCATTCTTATCAGAACACTGATTTTCCCATCCTCACCACCCATACAAAATAAAGTAGTGATGCAACAAAGTATTGCTGTTTTAACTTATGATTTTGAAAAACAAATCTCAAATTGATTTTGAATTGTAGGATCTAGGTCACACTGACTACATGAAAGTTAAAAAGGAAAATAAGTTTGAAACTGAAATTCTCCTAAGATGGTAGACTTCCAATAAGCTCAAACTTATGCTCAAATGATCCACTGCAGTTTCTATTGTCTGTTTATCAGAAAAGCTAGAAAGGAGGCACCACAAGACCAGAAAACTGGGTCACAATTTCCAGGAGCTGGAAGTGGTGGTAGAAGTGATTAACATAGTCCTTAACCCTTAATCCAGTTACAGGAACTGTAAGTCCTTAGGTGCCAAGGCGCAGACCCGAGCTAAGTGTCAGATGCTGTCAATGTCCTAGGGCACAGATAAGAGGTAAAGATATGGAGATTGAGCCTATTATAGAATCTCAGGTTCCTTTCAAATTCTCCATAGTTATCCAAAATCAACAGCAAACAGACCACTCTACAAAGGAATGAGCCCCTCCCCAAGGGAAGAAGACAGTATCAGCACTACCGCGGGGGCAGCATCCTTCTGCCTACCTGTGCCTATGCGGGTGCTTCTTTTTCCATCTCTCTCCATCTGCAGGGCTGCGGCTTCCTGCCCACCCATGACCTGCACCGTGCCAAGGCTTCTCTGCACTGACTTCCCTCAGCAGAGGCAGCTCTCCTCAAGTCCACCCACTGCGACCATGCAGGCCTCTCTCAGCAAACCTGTTCCTTTCGGGGCAGCCCTTTCTGCCCCCTTGTATCTATGCAAGTGTCCTTTATTCTTCTCTCCCTTTTATAATAAAGCTGCCCTTTTGGATGTAACTAACATCTCTGTCTCGTGGAAAAACTCGTTGGGAAATTCACCCATGATGCTGAAAAGGGAGATCTGGTGAAATCTTTCTTACTATTACTGTTATAGGGCAGAGAGAGGGGCAGCCCAAATCCCGCAAACCTGCCTTTTCTAAATGGGTTCTGCCATCCGCAGCATCAAATCAAATATATGACACTTTAATGGGAAGGAAATTTAATACAATTCGGAAGCAATACAGGAAAGGCAAAGAATCTAGTTTCTAAATCAAGCACCCAAAGTTACCCGTCCCCTCGTGGGTAAAAGTCCACCCAAATGGGATTGGCCCA